ACACAATTGTTTTAATGAGATATTTGGCACTTCGTTCCAATTATTGAATGACATAAAATTTCTCTTTGAACTGTTTTAGCACTAAAATACGATTAAAAAAAAATTGTAACTGGTAATCAATACATGAAAATTATAAGTAACAATTCAGTCTTGTTTAAACTGTGTTTTTTTTTATAAATGGAGAGGATTCATGGAGATGATTGTTGTTTTTCATAGTTGAAATGACGGAACTGATCTTGCGTTGGTAGATCAGTTCTTAGAAAGCAATGAGCAATGAACGAATCCTCTCGTTCAAGTATGAGACTCCTAAGCTCTGTGTATACATTATGGGTGATTGAAGTTAGATATTAAACATCGTTGGATTTCGGCACCGGTGATATACAGGTTAAGCGTTCGAGTGATACGGAAGGTGCTGGTTCGGTTCCCGTGTGCGTGTTTCATGGGTGTGCACTTCCGAGAATTTCCCATACTAGGACAAAGATGGTCGTCCAATGCTTTCAGGTTTCTAATGATGATCTATCTAGGCTAGATCGTTTCGTGAATTCGACTGTGGAAATAAATTGCCATTCCTTAATAATTTTAACGTTTTTGAGCTTTGTAAGATATTGTAGGGGTTCGTCACTAAGTACGCTTGAAGCTATTACGAGTTCACCTTAGTCGATGATAACGCAAACGAGACAATGAATCAGCGTCCAGATAGGCTACTTTTGAATCCCAAGCTGAAGACAGAAGGCTTTGTAAGCGTAGAAAGTATATTCTACAAACACCCAGCAATCACAGAACAATCGTGCATACAACTTCTCGTTTATTTATACATCATAGAAACGTCCTTGGGACAGTTACGAAAATCGCACACTAAAATACACAGCAGCCAATCACAGCCATGGTGTGAAGTGAAATCTCAAGGTCAGCTGACTAGCCCATGCCGGCAAACGTGAAATCCAAAATAAGGCATTTATCAAGCGATTTTTAGGGGATCTAACATCCCCAACAGATATAAGTTTATTTATTTTTGGACTTCGTACTCCTTTTACAAATTTTTACTGTATTTGAAATGTGACTACCAAGAAATCCAAGAAATGTCTTTTTTTTGCATGGCCAGAATTCATCAGTTGGATGTAAATGGAACACCAGTAATGAGATTCCCATTGAAACTTTCGAACTTAGCACTTATCATATCAAATAACAGAACATTTTTTATTAAAGTGTTGACAAGTTAGCCAATATTAAACCTAACAATCAAGTACCAATTGACGGCATCTAAAATTGCTTCCCTTCATTGACTATGACATGACATCGCGTTTTATTTGATGTTGATATTGTCATGGTGTTTTGTTCTCCGAGATGAATGTTTTGGTTGTTAGGATTTCATTGTTCTTCCTTGTGAACAACATCATCAGCACAAACTTCTTCAGACAGAAGTGAAGTATTCGAATTTCTTCATATATGAGTTGTAGCTTCTACTGTTGACCTTGATCTTGGATTGGTTGTTATTGACCTTAAACCTGTCGTTGCCTGATTGTACCTCTCCACTTCGATCTTGTCCTTGATCCTGAGTTTGCTTATGATTGTTTCGATTGGTTGATAAATTAAGTCAATGTCGATGTGTTAGTTGATTGCTGATCGATCTGTGTGGCAAATGTTGATTCTTTTAATAAAAGCTTAGTGTACAAGCTTATCATATACAGATTTCTGGTTAGATGCTTTCGAATAGTTCGTGCGATTAAGAATAAACTTCATATCAGTTGAATAAGTTGGAAGTAGGATTCAATCTCAAACAATTTTCACTACTGCATAAATGATTATTACTGAGTGCAACAAGAGTTTATAGAATTTTTAACATAGCTATGATCTTACAGTGGCATTTCTCAGTCTTTGGTGCTCATCTGTTTTTCGCTAGTTCCTGAGGATAAAGAAGTAAGTATACTCTGTAGCAGTTCTTTCTGTTCTTCCCCTTGCGAGGTGGTATTTGAAAGAAAAGAGAGAATATTCGAAGACTAAGTAGTGGAGGACGTTACACACCTTCACATATCTCGGCAGATCATCGACAAGCAGGTGGATCTAATGCGGATGTGAGGGCGCGGATCGGCAAATCAAGGCTGCATTTCTACAGTGGGAAAATCACCTGCAACTCAAAACAAATATTAACCAAAACCAAAATCAGGATTGTCAATACAAATGTCAAGACAGCTTCTACTGTGTGGAGCGGAAACCTGGAGAACTACAAAAGCCATCATCCACAAGATACAAGTGTTTATTAACCAGCTGTCTACGCAAAATACTTCCGGATTTGTTGGCCAGACACGCATCAGCAACAACGTACTGTGGAGAGAACAAACTAGAATTTAGTGGAGAAGGAAATGAGGAAGAAGCGGTTGAAGGTGGATAGGACACACACTACGAAAAGCATCTAACTGCGTCACAAGACAAAGCCCTGCACATGGAACCCTCAAGGGCAAAAGGAAAAGAAGAAGGCCAAGGAACACGTAACGCCGAGAAACAGAGAAAGATATGAGAGGAATGAACAAAAATCGGACAGAACTGGATAGGGGGGCCCAGGACAGTTGTTTGGAGAATGGTGGTCGGCCTATGCTCCATTGGGGGGGGGGTAACAGGCGTAAGTAAGTAAGTTAAGTTTATCATAGAAGTATTCAAATCGTTGTATGCATTATGTCCGGATCATTGTGTGGACTAACGATGAGGTCAGATACAGAGTGATAAGTAAAGGTGGCAAATCAGTTCACAAAATAGCAAATCTTTATCGACAGAGGTGAATGGAATGTGACTTATCCTCAATTTGTACAACCGCTGCCTACTTGACATACGATGTTTCCTGGTGTACGAATATGTTGGATGAACGGTGGGGGGGTGGCAAACCGAACCTTCTCATCACTCCACAAATCAATGCTTTGTTGAACTAAGCTGTGTTTGCTGCGGACAACCTGGTTAGGGTACATATAGTTATCAGAACCATTGCTTAGAGGAGTTGGGTACAGTCTCAGAATCAGCCTTAATAGAGTTGCCCTTTATCTTTCCTTTTAAGTTAACTTTTGTTTTGTATTTCACAAGTTTATGACTCATATTTCCCAATTATCATTGATAATGTTACGATTTCTAGTACTTTAGGATTTTGTCTTGATAAATTTTTACCATGCTATGCTATGAATCGTCGCATTAACGATTCAGATACTTCATTTGCTTAAATATGACTCAAAATTAAATTATGATAACATTTAAACCTCAAATATCAAAAATAAAGTTGATTAATAATAATAATAATAATTAAAATCATGAACCAATCAATTTATTAAACCACCATTAGAGCCTGGAAGCGCTAGACAGCCGTTTCGCCCTAGTATGAGACTCATCAACAATGCACATCCACTAAATTTCGACGCAGGTATTGGACCGATGACCTTCGATCTCTCACGCAACGGTGTCATGCAGTAATGAGGATTGATCTAAGTTAGACATTGTCA